GAATATAAGTTTTATAATTGTTTGTTAGTCATTGCTTACGACCTTCACTACGAATAAAGTCCCTCGAGAGATCATAGATGCATTTTTTATTATGCGATTTTTTTTTATTTGAAGCAATTTTTTTTTTCTAATATAGTTAAATTTTATTATAAAAAAAATTTATATTTTTTTTAATTTCTTTTATGTAAAATTTTTTGGTTTATTTCATGCGAAAGAACATTAATAATATAATTAATACGTTGCTTAGTCATATAATTTATTGTTTAGGCGTACGTATAATTTTTAATTTGTTATTTTTAAAATTTTCACCGTTCGAGAAATGAACTAGTTCATTTCAGAATTCAATAATGATCTAGGTCAATCCGGGATTGATCGAAATCGTGAAATGAGCCAGAACATTTATACCTAATGTTGTCAACCCAAAAATTTCTTTTTTTGCGTCACAGTTAGGGTTGTAAACTTACATTATAACTTACACAATAACTTACATGATTTTGGAATTTTGACTAAGTGAACATATAAAAATTGCTTGTAAGTTACATCGTAAGTTACATCAAAATTTGAAATTATTGTAAATTTATAACCTTAGTCACAGGATATTAATTGTACAATATCGTACTGGAATACAGAAAATCGACTCCATTCCGAAGATTTTTTCGGACAATGCCTACAATAACTGAACAAACTTTTTTTGTAGGGTTGACATTATTGTTATAACGATATGTAAAACAATCTTGATACAAAAATAGCTTTTACCTAAAAAAATCAACCGAAAAATCATTCGGCTAATTTTTATCAGGTGTTTCAGAATTATGATAACAGCTGAAAAATATCAATTCAAAGCTATTAAGCAATTAAATCATTCTATATAATGATATATATATTATTAATGTATTATATCTGATTGTGTTTACTAACAAAATAATATCTCATGACGGGAGGTTATAAAGAGTACTGTACAGCGCTGCATACCAGGGATGTTAAATTGGAGGTCATTTGTCTTTTTTTTAAATGACCTAGTCATTTCAGACTAAAATTCATAATAAAATTGAGGTCATTTTTGGGGCCATTTGAAGGTTATTTGAAGTAATTTGCATCCCTGCTGCATACAGTACTCCTTGAAGAAGTATCCCCTTTGAATAGTATCATTTGTAAATTCTGGTGTTTTTTGAAAATATCCTGGTACTAATCAAATAGCTGAATCAATGATTCTGTTATATAATCAACTCGTATTATTATTTTTTTTTCTTATTTAACCCCTTGATGCTATACATCATGGACCGTCGTAAGACGCTATTTAATTAATATTATTTTCAATATATCCCCCTCATATAATATCCCATCTTCACATAGTACCTCTGATGATATTATTGACATTTTTGAAAGACCCGTACTGTATGCAGCGTTTTACGGTGCACGACTATAAATAATTAAGGTTTTAGTAAAGATAAATCCAAATGAAAAAAAAATTTCTATTCTATGATCACACCCTTTATCTTATCATCATAACAATAACTTGCACATATAGCGAGAAATTTGCATTTAGTGCTTACTGTGTTGTTTCTGACTTTCAGTAGAAATGTTCGTATTTTCAATTATAAACATATTATCACTACTTCTATCAAAAAACCTATCTAGGTTAGCAAAAGTATTTTCAAAACTTTCAATAGAAATGTTATCATCATAATTAGCAATCTGTTTCAGGATTTGCTTCAGGAAAGAGATTTCGGAAATGGCGAACCCATCTTTTTGTACTTGCTTCTTTACTTTCTCTAAATCATCTAATTGGAATCACTCGATTTATCATTCTGATCTTTTTCAATCAATTCATAAATTTTTGAAGCTGTAGGACGCAAATCCGGATTTTCATTCAAACAAAATTTCATAATGGTTGCGGTGTTTCTTCAACTGGAGTTGGTCTTAACCCATCACAAATTTCCAAAGCAAGCTTATAATCGTGTTTTCTATCTTCAAATGCCCACATTTCTGAAGATATTTCCCACATTATTATGCCTAATGAATAAATATCGGATGCTAGAGTATATGGTTTTTTAAGTATGACTTCGGGTGCCATATATGGAATAATTCCATAAGTTTTATGTAAAACTCTGAATGTCCTAAGTCACTAATATATGCGTCGATCGGGGTTTTTTGTAGTATATTTCCGCTATGTAGGTCACGATGGATTATATTATGAGAATGGATTTGTTTGAGATCGTTAGCAATACAGGACAGCAAATTTAATTTCGCGTCCCATCCCATTAACCCTACAAAAGATATATTGTAACGTAAAGAACCAGCATCTGCATATTGCATTACTAATATGTAGTCACCAGTAGCATCTTCATCCTTTGATATCCCGTAACATTGTATGAATGTAGGATTTTTACGTCCAATTTCATAAAATAACTCTAACTACAATACGCATTTATTAGCGAAGCAACTTAAAAGGTGTAAAATTTGAATATACAACTACAAACCTCTTTTAAAAATCCATCACAATTTTCTTGAGATCCATGAAGAAATTTAAGTGCAACCATATCTAAACTAAAGTCTGAATGCTGCCACCTTGCTGAATATACAGTTGAAAATTTACCACTTCCAATTTCTTCAATGATTCTTAGTTCACAAAATGGAATCCATAATAATGAATATTCGTTGTCTTGCGACACATTTTTTAGAAAGTTATCAATTTTAGAATTTCCACTTTTATAAGGTTTTTGCTTAGGTAGATTTCTTTTCGCTTTTTGCATCCATTCAATAGCCTTTTCTTGATCTTGACCCGTTCCATTGCCATTTCAATAACGTGAACCAACTTCAATTTGTGCATTAAAATTTCCGTTTTCAGCAGATTTTAAATACCATTCGAATGCCTTAATTCTTTCATTATCATCATAACTCCTCCCATAGTAACGTCCAAGATAAAGCTGTGCATATGAATTTCCACTTTCAGCAGATTTCATATACCATTCAAACGACTTCTTTTCATCTTTAGAAACGCCTATCCCATAATAATAACAAAAACCAACGTTTGCTTGTCCATCGGGATGTTTACTTTCAGCAGATTTCAAATACTATTTAAATGCCTCTTTTTCATCTTTTAAAATTTCCTTACCATCTCTATAACAATTCCCAAGATTAAGTTGTCCTTGTGGATCACCACCCTCGGCAGATTTTAAATACCACTTAAGCGCTTTCTTTTTATCTTCAGAAACGCCTATACCTTTGAGGTAGCAGCATCCGACTTTATTTTGTCCGTCAGCATTTCCACCTTCAGCAGACTTCAAATACCATTCATATGCTTTCACATTATTCTTATCAATACCTATGCCTTCGTAATAACAGTATCCGACATTACTTTGTGCTTGAGGATGGCCATTTTTGGCAGATTTCAAAAACCATTCAAATGCTTTTTTATCATTCTTCACAACGCCTATGCCTTTGCAGTAGCACTGTCCAAGATTACACTGTGCGTTAGGAAAACCATTTTTTGCAGATTTTAAATACCACTCAAATGCCATTCTTTCATCTTTAGAAGTAACATTGCCCCTTTCATAAGAATATCCAACAGTATATTGCGCAAACGGATTTCCACCTTCAGCAGACTTTAAATACCATTCAAATGCTTTCCTGCTATCTTTAGGAACGCCTATGCCTAATGTATAGCAAAATGCAACATTATTTTGAGCCTCTGGATTTCCGCCTTCAGAAGATTTCAAACACCACTTAAATGCATTCTTTTCATTCTTAGAAATTCCTATGGCATTTCGGTAACAAAAGCCAACATTTATTTGTCCTTGTGAATTTCCGTTTTTTGCAGATTTTAAATACCACTTAAACGCCTCATTTTTATCTTTTGCCGTGCCTATCCCATTTTCATAGCAGTGGCCAATAATGTTTTGTCCGGAGGAATTTCCATTTTCGGCAGATTTTAATACCATCCAAATGCTTTTTTTTCGTCTTTAGCGGTACCTATCCCATTGTCAAAGCAATGGCAACATTAATTTGCCCTTCTGAATTTCCATTTTCAGTAGATTTTAAAAACCATTCAAATGCCTTGTTTTCGTCTTTTACAGTACATATCCCATTTTCATAGCATAATGTTTTGGCCATAGGAAGTTTTGCTTTTAGCTGATTTTAAAACCCATTCAATGCTTGTTTGTCGATTTCTGCAGTGCCCATCTCATCTTCATAGCAATAGTCACTAATGTTTTGGTCATTGGAAGTTTCGCTTTTAGCTGATTTTAAAAGCAATTCAAATGCTTTTTTTCCGACTACTGCAGTACCCATCCCAATTTCATAGTAATTGCCAGTATAATTTTGGCCATTTGAAATTTTGCTTTCAGCCGATTTTAAATTCGAGAAGTTCATATTTTTTGAAAGCTTTAAGGAAATCGATTAAATATTGTTTGCAGAAAGCTATATATGAAACTTAATACAGTATTATTCAAATTCATATACAGTGTTACCACATAATATAATATATAATGGTAATTGGACATTCTTTAGATAGATATGTATACCTTTTTATGTTATAATAAAGCAAATTACTATTTTGTTATGGGTTTTACAAAAAATATGTGCTGTACTGTATAAACCTATTCTTCTGATCATTTCCGTTTATAATACATAATTGTGTTTGGGCATGTGCCTTCTTTTTATTTTTGATGTGATTCACCATATTTCCTTTTTTGATTAAGGGTGTCCTCGAGGATTTTATTTATTTGTGGTGTTATGGATAGAATTAGATAACGACACAAACACAACTGTAAATTTGGGCGTGCCGGGGAGTGAGTTGATATTTTTTTTTAATACTATAAAATAAAAATTTGTGAAATCCAAAACTGTGATAACATTACACTAATAAAAAATCGTCGAAAAGCCATCTATAGCTTTAGCATAGTGCCAAAGTTCGCTGTGAAAGTAATAAAATAAGAATCAAAAACTCGAAGAAATTACTTAGAAGCAGTGTCTGAAATTCAATTTTTAATTTAGTTGCGGGCTGCAACTAAATAAAAAACTTGCGGATTATATGGATTTAGTGGCGCATATGAATGTATTTATATGCAAATTCGAACATATCTATATGCAAATTCAAAAATTTATTTGCGGAACCAGCATATACTGTACATTTCGGATTTTAGTTGCGGAAACTTATAAATCATTTGCGGTCCGCAAGCTCCGCAACCCAATTTCAGACACTGCTTAGAAGTCACGAACTACTATTTTACAAGAAAATTAAGTAAAACACGTGAATAGAATCGACTAATAAAATTTTGCAAACCAAATGATCTGCGGAAAATCAGCCAATCAGAACTTCTGCCTATGATCTCTCGAGGGACTTTATTCGTAGTGAAGGTCGTAAGCAATGACTAACAAACAATTATAAAACTTATATTC